AATAGAAATATATGCCCGTTCCATTATTTCTTGAGGAAAGAGTGAGGCAACAGGCTGTGAGGTATCAAAAATGTCAAAATTCCTTGGACACACACGCGAAATAATGGCCATTTTTTCTTGACCGTTTTCTTGAGAGCTGCATACAGGGCTTTTGGCAGTACGCAGTTCTTAAGAAATTTACCACGCTTTCTACTACGGTTTTCTAAAGTTTTTTGTGAAAAAAGAGCACAAGGCAACCCAGGTTTGCAACAGAAATATATGCCCGTTCCATTATTTCTTGAGGAAAGAGTGAGGCAACAGGCTGTGAGGTATCAAAAATGTCAAAATTCCTTGGACACACACGCGAAATAAAGGCAATTTTTTCTTGACCGTTTTCTTGAGAGCTGCATACAGGGCTTTTATTGGGCTACTTGTCAAATAGATATACTTATACCGTGTGTGAACGTTTTGCAACCGAATGATTGATTTTGTTTACATTCAACATACTTGTATTCCGTTTTATATTTAATTTTAGAAATAAATCACTAAAAGCTGGCTATAAAATGATGCTCAAAATATATTTTCTTATATTTTTTAAATTAATTTTCTTCAGTAAAATTCTTAAATTCTTCAACGAATATGGGAGCTTCAATTTAAAAGAAAATGCCAAAAGCACAGTTTACGTCAAATGGGAGCAATGCCGAATAAGAAGAAGAAGCGAAACTACCTTTAAATCAAGATACGAATATTTAAAGGTAGTTTCACTTCTTCTTCTTATCCGCCATTGCTCCCATTTGACGTAGACTGTGCTTTTGACGTTTTCTTTTATATTGAAGCTACCATATTCTTTGAAGAAACTAAAAACCGTTTTTGCTTTACTTCAGAAAGAATTATATCAAAAATTATTTCAAGGAATATATTTTTAGCATCATTTTATAGCGACCTTTTAGTGGTTTATTTCTAAAATTAATTATAAAATGGATGGCAAGTAAAATACTGTTACGATTATCCTTGAAACCCTGAGGGATTTCCCAAATATGTTTCGACTCGTATCGCTGGATTGTTAAATAAATGCTCACGATGACCAAATTGTAGTACAATTAACTTTATTGTAAACAACCAATTTACAAAGCTCGCTAATACCGTCAAAACACTTTACAATACTCGTTAAAGCAATTACAATGCTTTACAAAACTTGTTAACACAATTAAACTTATAGCTTGCTTATTCGCAACTTACTTTACTTGTAGCTTGCTGACTTGTAACTAACTAACTTCGCTGTTGCGGCGCCTTTATATACCTGCGCTCGCACTTATGGCAACTCTAGAACGTTCTGAAGTTTATCGCTCATTCTCTTTCTCTCGCTGTTCGCAGTGTTCATCCAACTTGACGTTTCTCTTTGTGGAACATTCTACGTCATTCCTCAAACATTCTGCCTATTTCTCATTGTTCGCTTCGCGTTGCCGCAGTATTCGCCACATGCAATCATTATTTAGTACGATTAGCTGCATATTTCGAGATGGCCACGTGCATGGTAACTTCAGCAGGGTGTTGTTTGCTTGTTCCAACCACTTTTCGGCGGCAAATTTTCAGCCTCAGGACGAAAATTCAATAGGTTCGTGGGTGTGAAAGATCGTGTTATAATTAGCTCCGCGAAGTTTTATAAATTCAGCGGTTTTTATTAGCTAAACGCGATTTCAAATGCAAATAGCGATTCATATATATAATCGGAAAGTGAATTTTGCTAAATACCAAAGTGATAGTGAGACTTGTTTAAGCAAATCAAATTAAATTAAAGTATACTTTGACTAGGAAGAAAATGGTGAAAGTGAAGAGAACAGTGATAAATATAATAATTAAATAAAAAACACTCAAAAGTGCAGTGAAGTGTCTGCCAAAAAAATGGGTGACTGCCATAAGTGCAAAGGCCTAATACGCGGTGAGAGTGGAATCCGCTGTAAAGGTATATGCGGCAAAGTGTTTCACTGGGCAAAGAAATGCTCCGATCTCGATGTGTACAGTAAAAAAGTACTTGCGGACAATGCCTATGTGCGCTTTATGTGTGATGGTTGTCTCACATATATGCAAAATATTGATGAGGTCTTGCGAAACATGAATATCTCTATAGAGAATAATAGTAAAAACATAAAAGAGTGTAAAGACGACTTTCAAGAGTCGCAAGAAATGCAGGTTAAAGAACTAAAGCTCCTTTTACAAGCTACTGAGAGGAAATACGGTGAGCGTATAGATGCAACGCAAAGGGTTCAAAAAACATGCGAAACGAGCATAGCTGAGGCCAATAAGATGAAAGCTGTAGCTGAGGATGTGAAAAAGCACAGCCAAGATCTATGCGAGGCTATGGTACGAAATGAGAGTGAAAGTAGAAAAATATGTAAAGCAATAAAAAAGTCAGTAAGTGAAGAGTTGAAATCAAGCCATCATAGCAACGCCTCATATACTGAGCGTTTAAATTGCGGAATAGCGAATCACAAAGAGCCGAAAATAAATAAAGAAAAACCGCTGATCATAAAACCCAAAGAGAAGCAAGACGCGATGAAAACAAAAGAAGACCTGAATAAGAACGTTGATCCGTCGGATCTAAAAATAATCAATGTGCAGGGTAGGAAAAGTGGTACAATCGTTATTCAAAGCGAAAACGAGTCTGAGCGCGATAAAATAAAGACCGCAATTGCAAATAAAATGAGTGACCGCTATGAAATTAGAGTGCCGAATACGGCTAAACCCAAGTTTATAGTTTATGGCATTCGGAGTATGCTTTAAATATGAAGCGAGCAACTTGCAGAAATGATTAAAAAACAAAATGAATGTTCAAAAAGGGCTGACCTTAAAATTATTAAATATATTGAAGTCAAGAAAGATAAGTCTAGATACTATAATGTGCTCATTGATACGTGCTCAAAAGCGAAAAAATTAATATTGGAAGGGAGCAGTGTAGAGTCCAAGATGGTATGGGTGTGTCAGTCTGCTACAAATGTAAGGGCTTCAATCATATAGCTACGAAGTGCAAAGATGAAGAGATCTGCCTGAAGTGCTTGGGTAATCATAAAAAAATGGAGTGCACAAAGGAGCAAATAAACAAAGGTATCAATTGCATTCGTGCAAACAAAAAATTTAATCTAGGGCTCGACGTGAACCACTTGACTACTAACCGACAGTGTCCTGTATATATGAAGAAACTAGAGCATAAGAGAAATAAAGCCAGCTATTAACAATTACAGTCAGTTAATAGGAACCCTGGCATGGAGTTGACGGTTCACCCAGTACATGAAAAGCATAACAGTTACTTGAAATGCGTTTATCTTAACATAAGTAGTATAATAGCTAATAAAATAGAACTTGAAAGGCTAATTGAAATTGTTGATCCGGATATAGTTCTATGTTCCGAAACTTGTACACCAGAGGAAATATATGACTATGAAATACAGTTTCCAACATATCAGGTTGTAAGATGTGACTCGTACAGTAGACATACAGGAGGGGTAATCATAATATTGCGTAACGCACTAGATTTTAAAATAATACTAAACAAATATATCGATAAAAATGTTTGGCGTGTAGTTATCCAACTGAAAAATCGCGAAACCAAATGGAAAAAAGGGTGGTCTATCACTCACCTTGTTCAAATGATGCTGATTTTATAGCATATATGGAGACCGTTTTGTCGGCAACAAGCAAAGTTTGACCGCCGGCCGTACGAGTTCACCTTTAGACGTCCGGACAGTGACTACACGCACCTTACCATCAGCTCCGGGATGACACTTCAAGACCCGAGCGAGCTTCCACTTTGTTGGCGGTGTGGATTCGTTTAAGACAACAACGATATCATTCTCCACTAAATTAGGCGATGTCCGTTACCATTTCGTTCGACATTGTAAATTCACGAGATACTCTTCACGGCAGCGTTTCCAAAAATGTTGCCGCATTGAGGAAACAGCGTGCCAGCGTTGATGCAAGTTTCCTTTAAATTCTGGCAAATCAGGTTCTGGGAGTGATTTAAGAGGCTCACCCACAATAAAGTGACCAGGGTTTAGGGTTTCTAAGTCACCAGGACTTGCAGCATGAGTGCACAACGGCCGTGAGTTTACACAGGCTTCAACTTCAGTCAGTAATGTACTAAATTCTTCGTACGTTAGCAAATGATCACCTAAAACTCGTTTTAGATGATATTTTATAAGCTTTATGCCGATTTCCCAATAACCCCCTGTGGGGGGCGCTTGGAGGATTGAATTTCCACGAGATGCTGGAGTCGACAAAAAATTAACTGACCTTTTCATCCGCCATGCAACGTTCAAACATGTTTCTTAGCTCTTTCTCCGCTCCAATAAAATTCGTGCCGTTATCGGAATACAAGACTTTGCAAAACCCACGGCGGTTGATAAACCTTTTGAAGGCGTTGGGGAACGAAGCCGAAGACAAATCGCCAACGAGATCCGAGTGCATGGCTCCGCTACTCATACAGACGAACGAACAAATATACCCTTTAACAGATTTCGCTCCTCTTCCATTTGAAAATTTGTAAAGATAGGGACCCGCAAAGTCGACAGCGCTCCGCAAGGAGCAACGAGCAAAATTGACACGACTTGGTGGCAAGTCTCCCATGGACTGTACACCGATTTTGCGATTTAAACGTGTACATTTTACGCATGTAACGATGTGGATTTCGGCAATCAAGAGCCTGGCGATCGGGGAATTTTTCGCTAACAGAATTGGGTGTTTCACATCAGCTACTTTTAAGCGGTATAGGCCTTTTATCTCTGCAATAGGAAATTTCATTAGAAAAATAGTAATTTTGCATATACCTTATCAGAGCGTCTTCAGCGTTAGTAATCTCATTCCATAAAAGGAGCCCCATTGCCTTTACATAACTATGTATGTAACGATGAAAACTTGGTGAATACTGACCAGCGTTCTTTCGAGCTCACGACGTGGGCGGATAGTTTACTAGCTCGAAGTTCCAAGTTTGTTGTGTGCGTCGATGAAGACTTAAGCCTCCAAAACTCCTATGAACTGCTAAGGAATTCAGGACCATTCCACCATAACCGGTGCTCCATCAGTTCAAGCGGAGTTAAACCTCTTGAAGCGCAGTCAGCGGGATTAATTTCGGAACGTATGTGATTCCACGATTCAGCCGGTACAATTTCTTGAGTGTCTGCGACTCGATTTGTAATGAACGTAGTCCATCGACTCTGGTGAGCCTTCAGCCACGCCAAGGTGATAGTGGGGTCAGGCCACGCAAACATCGGATAAGTTTGGTTAGGCAAGCTGTCCATAATCGTTTTCGCTAGCTTAGCTGCAAGGTTTGCAGCGCAAAGCTCCAGACGAGGAAGTGTTGTAACTTTCAGGGGTGCAACCTTGGTCTTAGAACTAGCCAAAGCGACAGTTATTTCTCCACACGGCTGTATAGTGCGAGCATAAATAACAGCGGCGTATGCCCGCTCTGACGCGTCTGCAAATAGATGCAACTGCGTGTACGCACCCTTCGCACCAATACCTGTCCACCTTTTAAGCTTTAAGTCTGAAAACAACTTTAACTGTTCTCGATGATGACACCATTCCCTCGCTATAGGCATCGGAACTGGATCATCCCAATCGACGTTAGAGCGCCACAAGTCCTGAAACCAAATTTTTGACTTTATTGTGCAAGGTGATAGAAGTACGATCGGATCGAAAAGAACACTTGAATCGGATAAGTACGCTCTTTTGGAAAGAAGCGGTATTGGCTCGTTTAGATTTACTGCAAACGTTAAATAATCTCTTTTGGTGTTCCAAATTAGACCCAATGCATGCACTTTCTTGTCCTCGGCAATATATTTAGAAATTTCTTTTGACGCGTTAGGTATGGATGCTGTTAGTTCTGGGCAATTGGAAGCCCACTGCCTTAACTCGAAGCCACCACTACCAAGCACGGTAGATACGTCGCATTGTATCACCTGAAGTTCTTCTATGTTAGATGAGCCCGTGAGCAAATCATCCACATAAAAATCTCGAAGGATAACGGACGCAGCCTTGTCATAACGTCCTACAGCTTCCTTTGCGGTCTGTTGAAGGGCCTTTATAGCTAGATGTGATGCTGCAGCTACACCGAACTTGACCCGAAACATGGGATAATCTTTAATAGGAAGTGATGGGTCTGAACGCCACACACAATGCGTTGGAGATCAGTATGCTCCTTTGAAACGTATACTTGTCTATACATTTTCGCCCCATCTGCGTTAAGAGCGTACCGATGCATTCTGAACCTTATTAGGATTGAGAACAGTGTAGGTTGTAACTGAGGCCCAACCATCAAGGCGTCGTTTAAGGAGTAGCCTGTTGCTGTTTTCGCGGATGCATTAAACACTACCCTTAATTTTGTTGTAACACTGGATTCCTTAACAACGGAGTGATGTGACATATAATAGCAACTGTGAGAACAATCGGAATCTGGAACTTTCTCCATGTGGTTCATCACCACAAATTCAGCCATAAAAATATTATATTGTTGTCACATCTCTGGATTTGATTAAAACTTTCTTTCCATACGTAACAGACTACGCACAGCAGCGCTACGTGATTCACCTAATGATTTGTCTGATTTCAACGGGAGTTTTACAATAAAACGGCCGTCTGATGCGCGATGGTGTTTGGAGTCGCAATATTTCTCTTCCGTCGTTAGGAATTTTTTCTAGGAGCTTCTACTAACTCCCACAATTAGCATAGCGTATGCGTTAGCTGAATATCGCTGTGGAAGGTTAGCGTGTTCCGAATAGCGGGAAGAGATGCATCCACCTGACCGAATATTGTGCAGCCAAAAACTGTGTTTTGCGCCATAGGTGCACCTGGAGGACCCTTCCGAATTTCCGGTATGATAAATTTGTCCATTTCATCTACACCAATGAGGATATCTATGGAACGTGATTTCATAAATTGCGAATCAGCCAGCGATAAATCATGTAAGTGTGGCCAACAACAACAGGAATATTGCTGGTAGGCAGGTCGTTTGATATTTTACAAAGAATGAGAGCATTTATTTTAAGAATTTGCGATGACGATTTAGATGCTAAACTAAGCGATACTTCACCTTTAGTTCGCCCACCGTTAGCAGAACCGATTCCTGATACGATTACCGAAGAAGATCTTCTTGGCAAACGTAAACGTAGTGCATGAGAACCGGTATCAAACAATACGCGTGCGGCTTGCCAGCGGCCGGAATAATCTTTTATGTTTACCATTGCGAGAAGAACTGCTTTCCACGTTGCATTTTGAAACTCGCCTTTAGTTGTAGAGGATGCCGCTTTGAACGAAGTGTGGTTGCAGTCAGCGGCAAGCTTGTTAGATGTTGCTTTAACAATAGCGTTGCGGTTTTAACAATAGCGCCAGGATCGAAGACGGCGGTAGCGGTAGCGGCAGGAACAGCGGCATGAACAGAGTTTTGAGAATTTGTGGAATCGGTTGCGTGGTGAATAAGCGTATGGTGACGAAGGTGGCAAATACGGCACGTAGAATCGCTGCGACATCTAGATTGGTAGTGGTCCTTACTTAAGCAGATTAAGCATGCGCCACTTTCTTTGATAAACTGCCTCTTTTCGTCAGAGTTTAAGCTTAAGAAAGGTTCACAATTGTAAATTCGGTGGTCACCACTGCAATGAGTACATTTAACACTGTATTCTTCAACAGCGTGTAAAACGTTGGTGAATTTCTTAACATGTTTTGTGGACGGTTTACTTGCAGCATCTACAGCGGTAGACAGACCAGACAGAGAGCGGCACCTCGTTTCCAAAAACGTCTTTAACTGTTCGCAGCTTGGTGGATCGTCATCTTCAAGTGACAACTCCCACTGTTTTCTCGTTTCAAAAGCCAGCTTCCCGACTACCTGGTGAACTAACCAGTCATCCCAAAATTCTACAGGACGGCCTAATGCTTTAAGTGCTCTTGTATGCTGTAAAGTCGGATCTAAAATACTTTTTATATCAGCAGCAGCGTCGCTCCCTGCTTTAGTTATGACTGACATAGCACGAAAGTGACTGTCAACAATAATGCGCATCACTTTGTAACGAGATTTTAGAAGATCCAACGCTTCAACATAGTTTGCATCGCAAATCTGGAAGCTGCTAATAATATGCAAGGCTTCACCCTTCAAACAGCTTCTCAGATAGTGAAGTTTCTGGCTATTGGTTAAGTTGGAATTTGCATCTACCAGCGATTGAAGGGCATAATGAAATGGAATCCATTCAGTAGAGTCACCTGCAAATGTGGGCAATTCCATCTTTGGCAAACGACTTGACGCCTATACTGACGTAGTCGTGGAAACTTGCTGGTGTAAGCCATTTCGTATACGCATAAAACTTAACAATGAAGTGGAGTACCATATCTCGCCTTGTTCTCTTGTCCCTTCTTCAACTTCCAAATTTTCAGCGCCACACGATAGTTCTACAGCTTCTTGGGCTTGGCTAAACCTAACCCATTGCTCACTTAACAGTTGCGTATAACTCCATATATTTTCAGAGTCCATAACGAATGCATCGTCCGCTCTCTTTTTCATATATCTTTTAATAGCATTTAAAGCTGAATCACGCGTTTTGACATTGTTGTTTGCCATTGTATTTTCGAAAACTAATGTGAAAGGCAAAATAGAAAACAATAGAATTTGCAATGCATGTACTTATATTCCAGAGGGCAAGCAATGTCAAAATATAGCACTAATAACTTCGCTTATGATTTCTTTGCATATGTATGTATGTGCATAAAGGTGTATATGCATGCACAAGCTTGTCACTTTCCAAAGAGCGAGCAATGTCAAAAGCGCTGAACTGTTCACTGTTGTAGTTATCACTATTTTGTTCCGAAAATTCAACCAATAAATAAATGTAAATTTAAATGCGAATTGATGTATGTTGTCACAATTTTTGCTTATTTATTGTTATTTTAAACAATCCGGCTCGAAGGACCAGCTTTTTGTTGAGTTTATTCTTACATTGTATTAATGCATACGTACGAGTTAAACCACCGTTCCGTTTGACAATTCATTTATTACTGATACAGCAGTACATGATGTAAGCAAATGTAGTTGAAGCAAGGAGAGCAATGAAGCCAACAGTAAAAAACTGAATGAGATATTCGCCCATCAGGCAATGAAACAGTTAATTAACTTTAATGCTAGGGTTACTGAATATTCCGAAACACTGATCGACTTAAACTATGTTCACATTACCAACATAAAATACTTAGTTTCGTTTAAAATACCTCACTAAATTAAGTGCGTTCATACACGCGATTCTTTATTTGTCTTGACAGCTTTGTAGCAACCCTGTGTTATTGTTTATTTAACCAAAAGAGATCGCGAATGTGAGTAATTGCGTATATTTTTATATTCTGAGTTGTTTGTGGTAATTTTTTAGATTTTAGATGAGTGATCAAAAGAGAAAGCTTCTGGAAATATTTTACAAACTACCACGCGCGATTATTAAAAACAAAAACGTCCAAACACAATGACATATCAGTTATGGGACAATACTGTTTCGATTATTATCGATAAAATTAGAGCCGACACTGATTTGTTCGTGATTTGGTTCTTGGTTTAAGATAAGCTATGTACTTTCAATTTAATTTACTGAGAGACTTTACAAGGCGAAATTACTTAGTTTGTACTTAATTTATGCGTAAATTAAGATTGACATCTAAATTACGACAATGGGAACATAGTTTTATTGTACTCGAACGCTAATACAATGTTCTGACAGACAACGAAAACACCTTGAAAACGAGTTTTGGGATTGTGGGCTGAAGGCTGTTCACACCGACTGTTGGTGTTTTCGTTGAGATTTCTTACATCCTTTGTTTACAGTTTTGCTGCACAAATACAAAACCAAAGTACTTTTCTTTCAATTTCTTTTCATTAACAACCTTTTGCTTCCATGCTTATTTTATTTTGGTCAGCCAATTAACAATAAATCCGAAATGGCGTATTAACGATGATAAAATATGACTTCCAGTTCGATAAACAATCGAAAAAACTAGTGCAGACACTGATTGGAATGATTGGAACGTGAGTTTTCAAGTGGTTTTCAGCGAAACCTTGTTTTCGTTTGACAGATTTTACATTGACCAAAATACAAGCTTTAGGTCGAAAACCAGTTCTAGCAACGAAAATAAGTTTTCGATGTCGGTCAGAACATGGTATAAGGAAGTTTCTTGTGAAAAAGCGGAGGAACATAGAATATCGGATCATGAGACTATACAAAACAAGGCCCTATCAGTAAACTGTCTGAAATAACTTCGTGGGATGGGTACAGCCCCGACAACCTCATAAATCTTTTGCGACAATGCACCTTCGCTGACCTGAACAGTCTCAGTCCTAATGGTATGCTCGAACATATTAATAATTGTTTGATTTCGAGTATGAATAAACTAACTTCTCGTGTACAAAAGCGGGTCAAAATCCGAAATAAATGGTATGACAGACAATTGACTAAAACTAATAAAGAAAAATTTAAGTTATATCAAAGGGCAGTGATCACTGGTGATTGGGTAGAATACAATGATATAAAGAAAGCGTATAAAAAATTATTAGAATTAAAAAAATACAATATATGGAATACAAGGTGGAAACTAATAGAGGTGATAGTCGTTTACTGTGGAAACATTTGAAGAATGTTGTCAATAATACAGATCACAAAGAAAACATCAAAGAAGTTCTAATCAACGGTAAAATATATAGCAATAGTACTGAAATCGTTGAAAAGTTAAGCAGTTTCTTTGCTGATAGTATCATCGATATTAATAGGAATATCTTCTTCTTCTTATTTGGCGCTGTAACCGCCTAAGCGATTTTGGCCGAGTCCAAAAGAGCACGCTAGTCATTTCTCTTCTGTGCTAACTGACGCCAATTGAAAATGCCAAGTGAAGACAAGTCCTTCTCCACCTGGTCTTTCCAACGCAGAGGAGGCCTTCCTCTTCCTCTGTTCCCAGCATCGCGGCCCGCGTTGAATATTTTCAGAGCAGGAGCGTTTCTGTCCATCCGAACGACATGGCCAAGCCAGCGGAGCCGCTGAATTTTAATTCGCTGCACAATGTCTATATCGTTGTAAAGCTCATACAGCTCATCGTTAAATCGTCTGCGATA